TCTCTCTCTCTCTCTCTCTCTCTCTCTCTCTCTCTCTCTCTCTCTCTCTCTCTCTCTCTCTCTCTCTCTCTCTCTCTCTCTCTCTCACGCGCCCTTAGTCCCATTGCTTTGGCTACCTTTGGGCCGCACTCCCCACACCCACACGGTAGACAACTTCACCCAAATTTAGCAGTCGACCCATCACCTCGGTTCACATGGAGGCAGGCACAGCGAAAATGGGGTCCCCACCACAATTCGCAGCCCTTAGGCTGCGGTATAGTGTGCTTCCGCGTCTGTGTCAAGGTGTAGCATTTTCGGTGGCGGGTGACCAGGACGCAAAGTGGGTTCTTAGGGGATAAAATATTTTTGGGGACCAGTTCTTGGCAAAATTGCTGACTACCTATAACTAGCTCTTCTAGAACCGGGACTTTTGGAAAAAGGAAGGACCGGTCCTCCGGTAGAAGCAGACCCCGAAAACAAGTGAGGGGCACTAAAGTCGTCCGTGAGACACTTTTACGCAAAACTGGACCCCAAAAAGAAGTGGGGAGCATTGGACCGGTTCCCGGGTAGAAGCAGACCCCAAAAAGAAGTGAGGGCGTGTGAACTGCAAAAGGACCCTCAGGCGCAGGCATTGAGCCTCGTCTTCTCAAAACAGGGAGGTCAGACACAAAGAAATAGACGTTTTGCGTGAGGCAACTTTGGCGATTTCATATGCTCGGGCGAACCTGCACAAAAATCTGAAATTTTGACAATCCATAGATGAGGTCGTGTTCTTTCCAGAAATAATAATAGAACATTTACAAAAATTCATTTACACTGCGAAATAATCGTCGCGCCGATTCGACATATTTTCCATTTTTGCCACCCAGCCATGCCTGGGCCAACTAAAAAGGTACTCCAAATTCAGTGAGTTTTCACACTCAGAAGAATGCGTGAAAAAACCTGTACTCGCAGACTTTGTTGTGATCTTTCTAGGAAAAACGCTAAATAAATTTAAAAAAATAGGTCGGTCGTGCGTCGAGCAACTACCACGTCCGCATGGAATGACGTCCAGTTCGCAGCCCTTACGCTGCGGTATAAGGGGCTTCCGCGTCTGTGTCAAGATGTCATATTTTTGGCGGCGGGTGACCAGGACGCAAAGTGGGTTCTTAGGGGGCAAAAAAATTTGGGGGACCTGTTCTTGGCAAAACTGCGGACTACCTACAGCTAGCTCTGCTAGAACCGGGACTTTTGGAAAAAGGAAGGACCGGTCCTCGGGTGGAAGTGGACCCCAAAAAGAAGTGGGGGGCGTTGGACCGGACCCCGGGTAGAAGCCGACCCCAAAAAGAAGTGAGGGCATGTGAGTTGCAAAAGGGCCCTCAGGCCCAGGCATTGAGCCCCGTCTTCTCAAAATTGTCTACCGCGTGGGCGC